GTTAGTAGAGGCGTTCGTATCCCGAGGTACCACTGTACTTTGTAATGCTTTTCAAAATGGCTAGCATAGGAGGCTTGACCGCTTACAATGCATAAGATTCTATTATTTTAAGTTTTACTTTAATACAATAGTAATTCTTTTTTAATTGTAAATACATATGATCTTTATTTTAATTAAATATCATGGAGTCATAACCTTAATCTAAAAAAATGTAAAGTAAGAGCACTACACATATACCAAATTAACCATCATTGATTTTATATAGTTTTGATGTATGGGGAGAAAAATAGCCTGTAACTATCTGAATGACTGAATTGGCACAGGCTATCAGACAATTTAGCATTTGTACATTCAAGTAAAAAAGAGTAGATGATATCAAGCAAAGTCAGTAAAAAGAACATTTTTCTAAGAGCCTCCTCACAACTTCTTGAAAATTGGAAGTTAGTGAGTACATGTTTGCAAGACAAATGGATGATATTCAGTGCCAAATATCTACATTATGGAAATGCAAATACGCCTGAGGAATTGTGATTGCATGTATTAGCAGAATCTTTTAAAAATGGCTAGAGTGCCCCTTAGATGAGACAAGGTCAGCATTAATGAGTTTACTACAGTGTCTGGGCCTACAGATAAACCATACTGCAATCATTATTAATTTCTTGGTAAAGAATCTAATTTTTCAGCATGTACATGGACTCCTGGTATTCTTTTACAAACTATATATTGAAAAAATTAAGCATTAAACCCACATTCTGCCATCTGATGCTCTCCAGGTGTGTTGAGAACAGCATTCTCATAATCTTGAGAAGAAAAGATATAAATACACCTAGTGGGCAACATTAACCTGAGTAGGCCTGCTTTAAACTGAAAGTATTTATTTGGCTTAGTACAACCTCCTTTTAATCTATTTTGCTGAAGGGATGAAATACATTGGGCAGGCATGTGAAATAAAAAGATCGGTGTCTTCCAGGATATCAGCAGCCTGTTCTGCAGAAGAGAGAGACATTGGTAGTTGAACATGTATCTACATTTTTGTTTATTCTTGAGCTTTAATTACAAAGTATTTGTACTAATATAGTGATGCTGTTACGTATATACAATTGAAGAATCTGTGGCTGTCCAGATACTGATGGATTTCAGTTTCCATCAGCCCCATTTAAGCAAAGCCAATGAGAATTGTACTTCAACGTTTTTTTCAGAGCCCCCTTCTAAAAATGACGAATGCAAGAAATCCAGTTTTGTTGCACCATTTGGACCCTTTTCCTGTTCTCCTGACAAGTCCCAATCCTTTTTTGTCTGGTATGTGCAGTTGATGCTATTTGCCATGAGGCCTTTGGATAAATACAAAATCAGTGTCTACTAAGATGAAAACTTTCGAGGAACTGAGGAAGCTACAGGCATTGCCTAGAACAACAGTATTACCAGGCACATTCCAACAGAAATTAATCAAAATGAACTCCTTTAAAATCAAGAGGACTTATACAAGACAATGTAATTCCATTCCTTTCAATTGTATGTAGTCATGGCTAATGTTTGTTAGATTATGCCTTTAGTATTCAAAGCCCAACACTGAATGATGATATCCATCCTAAAGTCATCCTACACAATTGAAAAAGGATGATAAATTTTAAAAGTTTGTGGGTAGGCAGATGTGACATATAAAACATCTATCCACTATCACTAAGAAAAATACTTTTCTCCTAGTTTGAATAATTTGTTCCCAATCTTAGGTATTATCATTCTGATCCTAATTTATGATTATGTGCAATCAAGTTGGTGTCGACTCTTAGTGACTGCAAAGATAGGTTTTCTCCCTAACGTGGTCGTTCAGCTCTTTGAATGGTGTGCTCATCACTGCTGTAACTGAGTCCATCCATTTTGCTGCTGGTCATTTTCTTATCTTTCCTTCCACTTTTCCCACCATTGAAACCTTCTCTAGAGAGCTAGGTATTTGTGTCTGGAGTGGGATAATTTGAGCTTGGTCATTTGTGCCTCAAGTGAGAACTCTGGATTGATTTGTTTGGTGATCCATTTGTTTGTTTTCTTGTCTGTCCATGGTATTCTCAGGACTCTTCTCCAACACCAAAGCTCAAAAGTGTCAGTACTCTTCCTACCCCACTTCTTTAAAGTCCCAATTTCACTGTCATAGAGTGTCACAGGGAATACCATTGCTTGCACAATCCTGATCTTTGTAGGTATAGTCACATGATGGCTTATCTTTTCCAAGGCCTTCATGAATATCCTACTAAGTACTAGTCTGCAGCATATGTCTTGACGGCTTGTTCCTTTACTATTGATGATTATTCCTAAAATATCACTTTGATTTCTTCATTGTCAATTCTAAGGCCGATTGTTCTACCTTCTGTCATTAGTTTGTCTTTATATTTAATTTTAGTCCCATTTTTTTTCATTGTGCTCCTTGAGTTTTATTACTTTATTACTAAAGCTTGCAGGTCATATCTATTACATTGACAAATAGGGAACAAAGCCCCAACATCAAACTCTTATTTGAAACTCCTTGTAGGGAATATGTGAGGGGTGAGAAGAATTTTTAAGTGCTAGCTTGAAATAGAGGACAAAACCAACAGACTTCAGAGAAAAACTCTCCTGCAACTCTACAGAGGCTATTTTTACTTTCAAAGTGCATAATCTTTTCTAGAGTTCCTTTTCCCCTCTTATTCCCTGATTCTAATTTTTCTTTTTCTCCAAAGCAATCCTTGCTGGTTCTCCTGGTAGATCAGGTAAAATGACAAAGTCAGCATAGGCTATTGGTTGTGTACTTGAAGGAAAGCTGCTGCTAAAGCTTAAACGATCCTACTAAAAAGCCAGTCATTAGCATGGAGATTCACTGATTTATTGATTTGATTTTAGCCCATTGCAATCAGTAGACTCTTAGCAGGTTATAATCAGTAATTTGTAATAAATTACAAATATCCACAATATAATCAAATAAAAGTTAAAATCACAAATGACATCAGTGATGACAAAAACATGAGTCACTGTTACAAAGTCTTCTCCTTCCAGATAAGATTTCTGTTTAGTTTTTTTTTTTTAATCTGTTGTAAATCACCTAAATTTACTTGGACTACTCGGGCTGCTTATCAGTTGAACAAAGAAACAAATGAACAAAGTTGCAACTGGAGTACCAGCCAAAGTTGGGTCAAACCTACCCTGGACCATGGCTTCTACCTGCTCCTTTAGAAGAGTCATGAGACCAAGAGGAGTCCTGAATTGCAAACCTGCTCCTTCAGGGACAATGTCACCCTGTCAAGTGACAAAACAGGAGACATCATGAACTCATGCTGGATAAACAGCAACTAAGGGTCAGATTCAGCCTGTTTGGTTCCTCAAAACCCACACAGCCTCCAGACACTGGGTCAAGATATTGTCTGCATTTCTGGTGCAACCCACAGTAGCAATGTACACTTGAAGTACAATGAGCATACTAATCATATCAAACCTAGGACAGTGAGATTTTTATACGGATGTATACAGGTATTATCTATGAAGGCCTGTATGCATTTTTAAAATTAGTTTATGCAAGCACTATGTGAATGCTGTGTAAAAATTTCCCAAAATAATAGAAATTGCAGCATTTTTCTGCCACAGCACCCACCCTGTGGAACATCATCCCCCTGGTACTTAGATTGGCGCCAATCCTCCTGGCCTTTAGGAAGGCCCTGAAAACATGGTTCTGCCGCCATGCCTGGGGGTCTGATAGTGGTGGGGAGCTATTACAAATGTAGGGAGCTACAGCTGTGCTGAGCTTCTGCAAGGATATATTCTGCTATAGATCATACTTTTCTGTTTTAAATCGATTATGGATGAGTTTTACATGTTTGTATATTGATTTTTAACTTGTTTTTATTGGATTGTTTTTACCTGTTGTGAGCTACCCAGAGTTCCTTAGATGAGATGGGTGGTCATAAATTGAATAATTCTCTCTCTCTCTCTCTCTCTCTCTGCATGTTTTCAACCATTTACTCGAGAAGGGCAATGCCAGGAAAAGACTGGGAGAATACTGGAATACTAGGATTTCTAGCAAGCAAGAAGCAGGGCTTCAG